TAAAAACAGCTTTTATTCCAGCCGAAATGAAACAATGTTTTTTTCTTTTGGAGAAAGTTTTATTTATCAGACAGACTGTGAAAATTTCCTTGCTCTGTTAAATATAATTTGGAAAATATATAAAAAAAAAAATAATAATCAAAGGGGGCTAATAAATCTGACTTCAACTATATATACTTACACACACACATATATATATATATATATATATATATATATATATATATATATATATATATATATATATATATATATATATATATATATATATATATATATATATATATATATATATATATATATATATATGTGATCAAAAGTGAAACAAATTATAGGTGGCAGCAAAGTCACTTTCTATATGAGCTGATTCATTTACAGATTTAGTGTGTCTGTCTTGAGTGCACTTTGAATTACCAGCTCATGCTATTTGTTCAGGAAGTTAATATTCAGAAATGAATCATCATTTAACAAAACTATGCAAAGAACACACAAAATGCCTACAACCAGCCTGTAGGAGGAAGCAAAGTCACAGAAATGAATCACATATTCACCCATTCAACCAATTCATTCAAAAGAGATTTATTTTATTTATTCAGAAACAAAGCACCAACTTGATTCATTTAAAAATGTTGAATTGTCCAGAAATTAGCTCCAGTTTCACCCACAAAAAGTAACCTGGTGCTTTTTTACTGATGTGGATGGATGTTTTTTTTTACATCTATGGTTCCACAAGAAGCCTTGGATTATTCATTGAAAAAATATCACTATAAAAGTAGTTTGTTTGTTTTTAAAGCTTCTCAGATTATGCTTTTTTACAACTACACTGAAAAAATTATGAAAAGATGATTGCTTTGATTTACTACATTATTTTAATTAGTTGTAAACAATGTATTTGGGCTGAGTTTAAACAAATAAACTACGTTGAACTTTAATAATTTTAGGGGGTGTCATGTTGGCACAGTGGGTAGCATGATGGCCTCAGCAAGAAGGTCACTGGTTCCAGTTGGCATTTCTGTGTGGAGTTTGCATGTTCTCCCTGTGTTCGCATGGGTTTCCTCCAGGTCCTCTGGTTTCCCCCACTGTCATGTGGTAGGTGAATTGGGTAAGCTAAATCGTCCATAGTTTGTAAGTGTGAATTAGTGTGTATGGATATTTTCCAGTGATGGGTTGCAGCTGGAAGGGCATCCACTGTGTAAAACATATACATATATATATTATAAACTTTACTTGAATAAAGTATAAAAAACAATGGTTATTTTGACAAAAATGTCCTTGATCAGGATGCAGAGGATATTATGATTTTTAAAAATAAGCTCAAAATCAGATTTTGTATCATGTTTATATTAGCAGTATGATATGCAATCTATTGAATTAAATAAAGGAAAAAAATATATACACACACACACACACGCACGCACGTATACACACATCATTTTTTGTATATGTTTTTTTTAATATTCTGTTCATCAAGGCAACATTTAATAAATGTAAAAAATGTTACATTTTATTAAACTTTTAAATACCGCTTTCTTATTGTATGTGTAGTTTCAAATGGAATTATTACTCCAGTCTTTATTGCTTTTATTACTATTACCAAAAATAATAATAATAATAATAATAATAATAATACTGTTAATAAAAATAATACCTAATATTAGAGATTATTTCTGAAAGATCAAGTGACTCTGAAGACTGGAATAATAAAGCTGAAAATTCACCTTTAAAAACACTGGAATAAAATATCAAATAAAATTATAAACTACTTCTGAACAGTTGTTTTGTAGTGCAATAACATATACTAACCAGTTACCCTACCTTACTTAATTAAGTTTTGTAAAAAAAAAATGTACAGGGTTGAATACAACTGAGAAATACGGTAACTAGTTCATTTAAATATGCATATAAGCCCAATGTAAAAATGACACAAGGGTAACTAAGTAAAGTTTAGAGAACACATTGGATTTGTTGGAAACGTATATCAATTTATACCAATAATAAGTCTAAAATTACATTTATAAAGAAGAGAGAGAGGTCTTCTCTGTTTTGTGATTAATAAAAATGTTTAGAGCTTGAGGTTGCATTAAAACAAACCTTGTTTAGTGTTTGACCCACTAGGATGTCATGCCAAATCCAGACAAAAATAGAAAGTCTTATCACATGTTGACTAAGCATTGCCATGAAGCCAGTTTGATCTGTCACACCACTGCTGTAAAGAAACCAGGTAGATCCTTTTCTTATGTATATTTTTACCGTTCTGTCACATACAGATATTTGTATTTCCTGCAGTGGCTGTTTAAATCTATTAGACATTGTTTATCTTGTATTAAGCAGTGCATTATAAGCCACTGAGGAATTTTTCATCTAGTTTTACAGGCAGACTATTTATGAACTAAATGACATTTTGGATTTTATATGGCATGTTCTGAATGAAGTATATCACTCAAAAGGGTCAATAATTGTTAGTATAGGCATATTATAATGTAAACAATTTGTGCTTCCTAACAAAACTTATTATGATTCATATTAAAAAAGACTTATTGTCCTGAGTTGCTTTAAAGTAAAGTAGAAAAAAATAAGTTTAATGGCATATACTGTTTGATGAGAGAACAAACTATCTACAAGCTGCTTGTTTTTTTTTTTTTTTTTTTTTTTTTTTGCTTTATATTATGTTAAATATAACAGCAGTGAGTGGTGTTAACCACCACACCTTTCATCAAAGCCATTTCAAGAAATCCGTTCATTGTTTGAGTTAATGCGCTTTGACATTCCAGAGTTGAATATTAGAAATGATGAATATACACTCACTACTGATCCCATCACTGAAACATGGATTGTAGTGTCCGACATTTTGTAGAAGTAACACTTAAATTAGATACAGAACCACCAAAAGTTTGGGTCATCAATTTATTTTATTTAAAGTAAATACTTTTTTTTCAGCAAATATGCAAGATCAAAATGACAGATGTTACAAATAAATGTCCTTTCTTTTCATTGATGACTTCAGAAACGTATCCACAAAAATGTTAAGCAGCACAACAATTTTATTATACAAGTATCACAGGTTATGATTCCAACGAAAACATTAGACACTGACATTTGTATAAGATCAACATTCAACATGAAGCAGAAAGGATCAGTTATACGTATATGTGCAGTAAAACACATTTATTCAGCACACTCCAAAAATATTTAGAGCTAATAAATAAGATTTATGTATTTTGATTGCATTTATAATTACCATCTATTTAGAAGACATACTTTTTTCAAGACTGAATTACAGTCTTGAATTAAATTATATGTGATTGATAATGGTTAGTTAAACATAATATAAAAAAAGAAAAATAACAACATTTATATAATAATGTCATTAATAAATCCAATGTGCTTTCTTTTTTTTCTACAGCAAAATATGTTCATACATTATTCATATCTTTAAACAGATTAAATATTACAGTATTCGATTTTAACAGATTTTGATTAAGGATTTTGTCAACATACATTAAAAAAACCTGACAAATAAAATAAAAAATTACAAACAGTTACTGATAAATTTCTTTGTGATTAGGTTTTTTGAGTGCAAGGATAACAACTTTATAACTTTCTAAAAAACAAAAATTAAATAAATAAATAAATAAATAAATAAATAAATAAATAAATAAATAAATAAATAAATAAATAAATAAATACAAAATCCAAATCTGTCATTGACAAAATTTCCACAACAAATTATTGAGCAAAAAATCAGCATATTAAATCAATAACTAAAACTCCTGTGACATAGAAGACTAGATTAAATATCCTGAAATCAACTTGACACCTTAAAACAAATCAAAGTTATTTAAACAAAGCAGAATTTATTTTAAATTATAGTAACATGCATAACCTTATGTTTCACCATCTGTTGTCCTTGGTAAACATAAAAGACTAAAAACAAAAACACTTTATAATAACTACACACAGGGCCGGAGCAAGCTGAACTGCCGCTCTAGGCAAAGGACGGTCACGCCGCCCTCGCGGGTGGCGAGGGTAGATTAGGGGACTCCGCCCTCTCTATTCTGCCGCCCTAGACGCGGATATAACTGAGGCGCGGGTGGCGAGGGTAGTTTAGGGGACGCCACCCTCTCTATTCTGCCGCGCTAGACGCGGAAATAACTGAGGCGCGGGTGGCGAGGGTAGTTTCGGGGACGCCGCTCTCTATATTCTGCCACTCTAGACGCGGATATAATTGTGGGCGCGGGTGGCGTGGATAGTTTCGGGGACGCCGCTCTCTCTATTCTGCCACCCTAGACGCGGATGTGGGCGCGGGTAGTTTCGGGGACGCCGCCCTCTCTATTTTGCCGCCCTAGGCGGCCGCCTAGGTCGCCTCTATGGAAGCGCTGGCCCTGACTACACACTATGAATCATTTACTACGCATTAGCATCTAGTGAATTCATTATCTGTTAAGCATTAACTCTACTTTAACAAACGTACGCAGTTTATAATTGCAGCTACAAATGTTGTACTCTTGACTTACAACCACATTTATAATGTGCCTCAATAATAATAAGAATTATAAATGTTAATTTCAATAGTTTATAAATCATTTACTAACTTATTCTGAATCTTAAAAACAACCAACTATGCTTAAATAACTGGTTTGTAAATAATGCAATACTTCATTTAGTAATAAAAAATAAATCATTAACTAAGTATGAAAGTAACATTATTAGCTACATTATAAATGTGGTTATAAGTCAAGAATAGAGCATTTGTAGCTGCAGTTATAAACTGCTTACTAACATTTATTAATGTAGAGTTATAGCTTAACAGATGAATTCAATATTTGCTAATGCTTAATAAATGGTAAACAATCTTCCAGAACATTTAAATGTACCACAAATATAAAAAGAACAGAGTAACAGGTCTACTGTTTGACACAGTTTTGTTTTACTAATGGATTCGTAGAACAGAGGCCCTTTTGTGTTTTTCCAACTCAAATAATTGACTACTAATTCAAGTACTAAAATGTTAATCCATATGCAGTCTATGTTATCTGCTTTTTTTTTTTTAATTTTGAGAAGAACGTGTTACAGTTATTTGGTAATTGCATACAAAGTTTCAAAAACCATAGAACATTTTTTAATGCTTTTTAACAGCTTATCAGAATGAAAAAGCAAAGTGATTAGCAGAAACCTGCTCAAGCAACTTAGAATAGGACCAAACTAAGTCAGAGGAATGCAAAGTAAGATTTGAACTGCATGAATAGAGGTGGAGCAACGCAAACAGACCGGCACTATAAAACCATCAGATCTGTGGCTTCATGGACTTCATTGATTCTTTCTGTAACTGGCCTCATATATGCCTGGAACACATCTAACGAAGGTAGATACACTCCTTTTTTCTCTCTCTCTGAATGTTATGTCAATTGAGTATGATAGTATCAAAACTTGAATTAAATTGAATAAAGTCAATGTTTTAATAGAAAAGTGACCCGCTGAATGTCACACATCTCTGCAAAACGTCTACTTCTACACAATATTCCAGTGCTCAAAACACAAAGGTGAGATTTTTCCTGTTCTCTTGTCTTTTGAAAAATTCCAGGAGGCAGAACACAGACGGATCCCTGCAAAGAATATTAAGTGTTTGTGTCTGTGAACATTTACAGGAGCTGCAACCACTCATGGCAAATCCAGTCCACAAAATTACAGATGAGAAGAAACAGCAGGGACTCGAGAAGATCAATTCGGGCCAGAGGTTTAAAGCAAATCTCATAAAATGGGTCTCGTTTATTTCTGGAGACATGGCTGCGTTCGGAGAATGGATGAAAGGTACAGGAGTTTAAGCTTAATTGAAGCTCGATCAAGAGCCAAGCTTGAAAAAAACAACAAGAGCATTAATTCTGCAGTGAATAGTTGGCAGAAGAGTGTTTGCAAGTCTACTTTACGTTTAGATTGACAATGGAAAAGCCTAAGCATTCCTGTTTTCTTTATCTTAAAGATAAAAATGCAGCTTTAACACTTTCTTTTTCAACTTTTGTACTTTGTAAACAAGTGGAAATATGTTAAACGTCATACATTTAATAATGTGTGATCCACACCTAATTAAAAACATACTCTTTCTAAGACGGAAATATATGCAGTCTTTTTATCATGATTTTTTTTAACTCTTAAATGCTTAAATGTTTTTCTAATAAATGGATCTATAACTGCTGCAATGTGTAAATAACTATAGTAAAAAAAAAAACAGACATCATTGAGAATTGATGTGAACTGCTCTTACTGTGTTGTCCGGCCATTAGTGACCATGTTTATAATTTTACAAACAATTGAAACTACAGTTTTAAACCTGTGGGCATTACAGGTGTTTCTAAATCCTGCATTAAAGACCCAAGCTAGTCATTTAATGGTTGATTACTTTTGATACTTAACTACAAAATGCATTCACAGACACACAGATTAGTAGCAGTTATTAATTGTTTGGTTATTATTGTTATTAGTAATTGTTTTCACTGCAGGACATTTTTCATGGCATACACACATATCTCTTTAAACCTCTGCCCTCTGCAGACATCTGCAAAGACTTTATTGGTATCAACTATGTGCTTTCTCATGTTTACCCTGTTCAGGCCAGTTTATCTTGCTCCAAATTATGGACTGGGTGTTGCGTGGAGCGGCTCAGGTGATGTTTGTGAACAACCCTCTCAGTGGTCTGATCATCTTTGCTGGACTGATCCTCCAGAATAGATGGTGGGCACTCAATGGTTTTGTTGGAACCGTGTTTGCTACGATTTCTGCACTCATCCTCTGTCAGAACAGGTATTAACACAACTGGTTCATTATGAATGTCTAAATGTTTGAGCAAGGTTTAAGTGTTGTGTTCCCTCAGAGGTGCAATTGCTGCTGGTCTGTATGGATATAACGGCATTTTGGTTGGTCTCCTGATGGCAGTTTTCTCAAATGCTGGAGATTGGTATTGGTGGCTTCTTCTTCCCAACATCTTCATGTCAATGGCATGGTGAGTTTGTGTCATGGCTCCTTCCAAGACTTATTTTAACTTGTAAGAAAGGAAATAGCTTAGAGCTGGAATGCACTTTGCAAGATTTGTAGTCTGTATGAGTTGATGCTGCTTAAAGTCAGAGCCACTCTGCAGATTCAGGGCAGAAAATTGTGTTGCATAATGATGAGTACAGACATTTTGGTTGACTAATATCGAACAATTTAAAAGATTTCTTTACTAAATGTAAATTTTATTTGTGATTCATGTTGCGGTTTGAAACTTTTTTGAACGTTTTTGTCAGTTTCTTAGTATGTGTTCATTTCTAAATTATCTGTAACAGCCTACAAATTTAGCAAGTGCGGGATGCTTAGTTTTTGTCAGAAAGATTTTAAAGACATCTAGTCTAGGAAGAACTGAAATGCTAGGAATTTGGAATCTTCATCTAGAATGTTCCTTCAGTCAGTCACTGTCATATGATTGAGTTATTAAAGTTCACACGTCACATGGTAACGGAATGTGCAAAAAATGAAATGTTCAAAGGTTTTACCACTTTATTTTTAGCATAGGGTTACATAGGGGCAAACAGATTTATCAGATCGCATTTGTATAAATATTGGTGAGTCCCACTGGTACACATTTATACAGAACACCTTTTGCAGTTCAGTTTCATTGCTAGTTTAGATCAGTGGTTCTCAACTGGTTTGGGTATTTTACAAAATATCAACTTTTTTTTACACAAGACCAAAATATGTAATCAAAACAATCTATTTAGCCTTTTTTTACTTTTATAATTTTGACCTAAATATAGACGCATATATTTTATAATTAATAATTAATAAATAAATAAATTATTTTTTTTTGTCTATTTGTTTTTTTTTTTCTTTTCCATGTTTTCCAACGTCTCTAGGAAAGTTAGAGTTAGGGTTGGGGTTAGGGTAAGAGAAGTGTGTAAATGAAGAAAACAGATTTATATTGAATGAGGCATGTGTGTTCTGTGTGGTGTTAAAATTGTGTTTTGTAATAGTGTTGTAAAGTTTTGGATGAAGTGTTTCATTTTGCAAAAGTTCTGATGTGTTCTGCTATTTGTGTGAGTGGATGTGTAAATTGTATGTAGTGTTTTGACAAAATGAGCCTTAATTTCAAAATTGTGCTTAAGCAGTCAGAAAAAAATGTAAATGTATCTGTTTACAAATCACGCACTATGGTAAAAGTGTTTTGCTGCGATGGTATTGTTCTAGGAACTGTGCAAATCTTCTTTCACTGATAATTTGTCCTGTACTCATATTTTGAAAAAGAAGGAATACAAGTTATTGGTGTTGTATAGTTTTATGCAGAGTTATGCAACAGAGAACAGAGTTATGCAAAAAAAAAAAAAAAATGTTGGTAGAGTCACATTTTCTCAATGAGGCATAGCAGTGTGCAAATTAGCCATCTGCCAGCTTTTTGATAGGACACTCACCCTCACACACCTCCATGACACTGGAAGCATTGCTTCTCCCTTTAAAAAGTATGCATGTAACAAGCTATTCACAATTAAAAGTTGCATTTTATTATTTAAAATTAAGATTCATTTCACATTCACATTACATTCGTGAATTTAACAATTCCCTCCAACTGACAATTAAAAGTCAGCAGTTTAGTGGTGCTGATTTACAGGATCCTAACACTGTGGTTTTCTTCAGTCCTATAGTATCCAGTGCCTTGGCCTCCATCAACAGCCGCTGGGATCTGCCTGTCTTCACCTTGCCGTTTAACATACTGGTGTGTCTCCATATGGTGGCTACAGGACACTACAATCAATACTTCCCTCAGATTCTCATCCAGCCAACTACATCCATGTCTAACCTGACATGGTCTGAGCTGGATTATGCACAGGTAAAAGCTAACAAGAGAACATGAGGCTATCAAAGAAGTAAAGGCTGTCTCAAATGTGGGTTTTATTGCCACTTCCCCAGAGCAAGACAGTGTTTAGTGACAGCTCTTTGCAGGAGAAGTATAGATTGACATCACATACACTAAAAAGAGCTGTTTATCTGAAACTGACAAAATGGAATTC